CTACTACCCACTTGATATTCATTCGAACGACGCAAACACTGCTCGCTTGATCGGCCCGATCGGCGTGAATCACGCTAGTTGTCTTGCTTAGCCCGACGCTGTGGTTCAAGGCTTCCCGGTGGTACGACGCTTATCGGCTGAACCAGACCAGATGGGGCCGACTTTATGACTTTCTGTCCGGCCTTGACGTGAATAGCATCGTCTACCACCTTGCAATATTCCTCAACTTTCTTCATTAGCGCCCTAACCATTTTAGGAGGCTGTCTAGTCAAGGAGCTTCTGAGAGGACAGTCGGGGTGTAATCGCATCTTAAAGGCAATGATGGCTGTGGGAAACCGAATATACAAATCAAATAAATAATTAAGTAATAATCATTTTACAATCTCAAATATTTTTATGGTAAATCCTAAAGTACAAATTAAATATTGTTTGAGGGTCTTTTAATTAATTTTAAACCTAAAATAAATTCATGGTGAAAGTCTTTAATTTAGAGACAAGATTTATTATAAAAATATATAGAGAGAGAGAGTAAGATAGAGGAGGGTGTGACTTGAAATCTAGACCGCAAAGTTAATAAATAAGGCTCTTACCATTTGAGTTGCATATAACTTATATATGTATTTTGTATGTTTATCTATTTATTTGACCAATGTGTGCCCACCACTAGTATAAAATAAAATAAACACAAATCCTACTATATTATTTGTTCACCACATTTAGCAGCAGGAGCAGCCACACTAGCGAGAGAGTTGAAAGAGAAAGGGGAAAAAAAAAAAGTTTGCAATCAAAGAAGAACTTTTGGGTGTGTGGTAGGGTTCTAGCTTTCTTCTTTATTTTATTTTTGTTCTTTATCCTTATTCTATTATATGATTTAATTCATTGATGGAGAGATTGTAGGTGTATGTATTTTATGTATATATATATACTGTTAAGAAATCTGAGGAGTTAAATTCATATATAAAGAATGGGTGTAATTCTTAGTCCAAAAATTCAGCACAGAATCACAAACTTTAAAAATCAAGAAACCAAAACAAATGGATGAATTTTGAACTAAAATTTTTACAATAGATTAATCACATATTGAATTGCATATCAGAATTTTCTTATAATTTTTGGGAGTCAAAATATATATTAATTGGTGCGTTCAGTTCTGTCCAGACACTGGGGTAAAATAGTAACTTTGGAAGTGTCGTTCTCTTTGGGTATAAATCTGAAAATTATCAAATCATCGTCATTAGTACCAGTTATGAGTCTAGTTTCTTAAATTTTTGGCCTTACGCTGATTGCTCATGTATACTAAGAGAACCATTAATTTCTTTAAAGTATTATAGATAACAACATATTTGGGCATAATTAATTGTAAATAATTATTTTGATAAGAAAATCAAGTAAAACCAATTAGGTTTGGAACTTAGAATATATTAGTTGATATCTAGAGGGTTTTGGAATTTTTTGAATAGCGTGGAGTGGGTTTTGTAATTTTCAAAGTTAGCAAATAGATTGAGAAAAACTTGTTTAAAACTCTGTTTTATCTTAAAGTCACTTTTAGTTAAGTTTCGATCGGAATCCATGCCTCGGGTGATTTTAGACCTTGAAGAACATGAACTTAGATAATATTTAGGAGTAACGGTGAGTTGGGTTGAGCCGTGTTAGTGCGCTTTAAGTTTGAGGTTACTTAGTTCCTATTCTTTAGTATTTTTAAATTAGTAGTGACGTGCAATTTTTATATTTGGTTCAGGGCACTGGTTAAACTTTTATACTCTATTCGAGGATTACATTGTTTCGTTTTCAGGTGAGTAGGTGCATGCTACATACTTTTATAAATGTTCCCTTACCTTGAACTGTTGGAAAATTAAATTATTGTTTTAGGACTAAACTATTTTGATAAATTATTATATTATCAATGTAATTAAATGATTTCTGAAACTTGTGTAAACTTGGTATACTGTAAAATATTTGTTATGGTCTCATGTTTATAATGGTGAACTACCATATTTTGTGAAATTGATGTGTATTGATTATTGGGACCATTTGTATATTTTAGTCCAGGGAAATTATTTCACTGTGTGTAGTGACTCTGGCCACTAGGAAAAAGATCTGGGTTGGGCCATGATGACTCTAGTGCTCAACAATTGTAAGGAAATGACCTAGGTTGGGCTAGGTGATTTTCAATTGGATCGTCGTAGAGAAAAGGCCCGAGTTGCCACCCCGAGGATGACTCTTGGTTCGATATTGGATCCAATGGGCTTATTGCCTTGAGAATTGTGTGGTATGTTACTTGTTATTCTTGGTATCCAGAAAATTATTGGTGTTCATGTTGTAATCTGTTTTAAGTGAAAAATGTCATTTATCATGTTCTTGAGCGACATGAATATTTTAACTGTTGAACTGTGGAGCCTTCTTTTTGAAACAGATTATCTTTATCAAAAATACATGCCAATCTAGTTTCTGTGATATATATCTTATTTTGTAATTGATCCCTGTATTCAAAACTGTATATACTATCCATATTGCTACTCACTAAGCTATCAGCTAATTTAGATGTTTATCATTTCCAGGTATTAGAAGGACTTAGAGTGGACTCATGGCATATTGGGGACTCAATTGCATGGACCTCTAGGACATTCATTTATTTTGTTTTAGATTGTTATGTCAAGTTTGTGCATATTTATTTTTATTTTTATTGGGGTTCATTTAGGATTATTTCGATATGTGGGTTGTTTATATCCCATAAGTTTAGATGGTATTAATTACGGTTGGTTTTGCCGTTTATAATTGTGGCATGTCACTGGATTAAGTTTTTGTTATTTATTATTGGACTATTGTATAGTTATTTAATATGTTTATGGATTCGTGTTTAGGCGTACGTGTGCCTTGGGTTAAGGCCTTGTGGGCCACGGCCGGCTATACTCGGGTTTGGGGTGTGACAATGGCCATGGAGTCATTGCAGGCATCGTCTACGAAGTTGAAACATTCCCAAAAGCTCGCCGAATATTCATGGAGGATCTCGTCGGGTTTGATTTGCATTACCCAAAGAGAGTCAGCTTGCTTTAGCTAGACCTCGTTGGTGATTAATCTTGCCCTGAAGGACTTTTGGTGCTGATAAAAGCTTTTTATTGAGGCCGGCTCCAGCTTATAATACCATCTGATAACCAATAGTCCTAAGCTGCTCGGGAACATTCGACACATGAGTGTTTCGTTATCAGCATGCAACGTCATCGCTTGTTTGTAGTGACGAATGTGATCCGTTGGGTCTAACTTTTCGTTATACAGGGTAAATGTTGGTGCTTTAAACTTTTTAGGCAGTACAGCTCTTACAATGGGTCATACGAAAGGATCGTACTTGTCCTTTTCATTCGAATCATCACTTCCTTTCCCTCGCTTATACCGTACATACAGATTTCCTTCGGATGAGCTAGACATGTCAACTCGCTCTTTCCTTCTAGGTTCCTGTGATGAATCAGAAGCACTGCTACTATCATGTTGTCGAAGCCGACGCCGTCGATCATCCTTCTTCTCTGGTGATCGACCCCGATCATGACGTATGGCTTGTTGGGATTTGGCCAACTTTAGGGCCAACTCCTTACGCAAGCGCTCGTTATCAGCTGCCATGTCTTCCAGACATTGTTCGTTTCGTTTCTATGATCGTTTGCATAGTTTCCTGTATAAAGGTTGAAGGTGAGGTTTGATCCACTGGATCGAAGTTCAGGGCCCTTCGCGTGGTGATATTCTCCGGTCTAGGCATGTTTCTTGGAGTAACATCATCCCTTGGTGTACCATCATCAGCAACGAGTGAAGGATCATCTGTTACACCTACCATGAATGCACTTGAGTATTTCTACAGACGACGCCAATTGTGGTAAAAGGGGTTTTAGGAATGTTCTTGGATCTAGGTAAACGCTCTTGATCCTTTGATTGCTATTTGAAATAAGAATGAACACTCTAGTCGGGGGTGTTGGAATTAGCACTCCGACGGACAAATCAGTATCTTCTCAAGTTTTACTTCTATTTCAAGTTATTTTTTTTTTGTTTACACATACCTCACTTTGGCTGATGCTCCATTTTTTTATATTGCTCTCCAGGGGCCCACTTTTCCACTGTCACCTTTTACCATCACATCTGGGACCTCTAGTTGTGCCAGAAGATTTACGGAATACTCGGCCCGTGGATAGATTCTACTCGGCCTTGGTCTTGTGCAAATGGGTCTGGTCATAGCGAGTTATCTTCACCAGTCTTCTCAACATCCTTTTTGAGCAGCTCACCTAAGCGGTCACTTTTATTTGCCCCCCACAATAAGAATAAAATCTAAATTTTAATATAGAAGAAATGATAATATAATTTTTTTACTGAGATATTGAATATTACATAAATTAAAGGAAAAATTACATTAACCTTCTCTTAGATTTGGAAAAATATACAGTAGCTTTACAATTTTGATATAGTTATACTAGGTTTTCTTAAGGTTTTAATTTATATAGCACTTGGTCCATTTTTATCGAAAATTCATTAGTTGGATGAATAAAAAAAAATATTCAGTGTGTTTGGTTTCAGTTTTCTGAAAATTGAGTATTAGGTGTGTAAACATTAAAAAATTGCTTAAAATATTTATATTAAAAAATATTAAAAACAAGAAATTATAATTTTTGAAAAATATTAAAAAATATTTATATTAGAAAATAAGAAAATATTAAAAAAATTCAGTAAAAACAAAAAGAAAAAAATAGAAAATAAGAAATTATAATTTTTTGAAAAGTGTTTTCAAAAAATTAAAAACAAACATAGTGATTGCGATTTTTTTTTTTTTTAACATTTAAATATATATTTTACCTTAGTTTTGCTCTATCTAACCTCACTAAAAAGAATATTAGTGAATTATGTCAAAACTTAGGGAGTTGCTGTATTTTAGTAAACCTCAAAGGAGGTCAGTGTAATTTGCCCTAAAACTAAGAATTTAATGTAATTATGTTAGTTGTGGAGGGATTCCCCAAATCACAGAAGAGATTGTTGTAATTTAGCCAACAATCGACGCATTCACATTCACATTCACAGTGGCCTCCAAAGAAACCATCTGAAACTCATCTGAAACTCAAACCCAGTTTAAAGTTGGAAACAACAGACAAGAGATGAACACAAGGCTGATATTGAGTGCAACAACACTTGCAGTAGTAGCCATCTTTATAGCTTTCAACACAAGAACTAACCATCATGTCTCGTTCTTCTTCACCCCAACTCCTATACCAGGGTCCAATAACCACCTCCACACAGCTGAGATTATCCATCTCACAGGAGCGGTCGGGCCCGAAAGTCTTGCATTCAGTCCTGCCGGCGAAGGCCCCTACACCGGCGTCGCCGACGGCCGGATTCTCAAGTGGCAAGGAGATGACCTTGGTTGGGTTGACTTTGCTTTCACCACTTCACCTAGGTAACAAATTTATTTTCCTGTTCAGAATTTTTTTTTCTTTTTTTAATTTTTCGTGTATTTATTTACTTTAATAAGTCATGTGATATATTTTTTTTTAATCTGCTAAAGTTAGTTTAGTTGGTATATGCTAGCTTAAGATTTTGGGGCTGATTCAGTGATTCAAATTCTTCACCTTTTAGGATTGGTACAGTAGATTATTCATACAAAATATAAAATCAGAGATTATTAACAGCTTATATTTGAATTATATTTATTTTTAAAATTATATTTGTCTTCTATTTTTTTTAACATAAATATGATCTAAACATATAGTTATACATTGTTAATTATCTAAACTTTTACGTAAATATATTCGACGAATCTTAAAAATTGACGGTTGAATTATTGAAAGACCACTATCTTAATTTTTTAAATTAATATTTTATTCAACAACTTTTAAAAATGAAATGTTAAAAATAAAGGGTTCATTTGGTTTGTATTTCTGAAAATTTTTTGAGAAATTTTCTCTACAAATAAGTTTTTAAAAGTAATCAAACCAAACAAATTTTCCCAAAAAAATTTCTCAAAACTTGTAAACCAAACAAGTTTTCCAAACAAATCTCTCTCTCACACACATCAAATCAATCACTTTTTCCAAAATTCTCTCTCAAAATAATTTTCCAAAACATCTTTTGAAAAAAAACCAAACCAAACAACTTTTCGTACTTTTTATCTCTAAAACACATCTCCCAAACACAAACCAAACATATCCAAAGTGTTTAAATTATTGAGATCGACTCCAAAATGGATCCATTAAGCCCCTATGACCATTGGACCAAAAGGCGAAGTTATGTGAATGTGAATGATCTATTGTATTTAAAACTAGAGAGAGGTCAAAACTTTAGTGAAATAATAAGGGATTAGGTTGTCTCCAGTGCATTAATTGGATGGGATGGCATTGTTGGGGCTCATGGGACTCATCAAAAGTTTTTTTTTGATTATCTAAATCGTTTATGTTTTAGATTATTTTGTATAATATTTTAAAATGGTTAGATCAATCTGATATCTATTACTATATAATTTGTCTTGAAGATTTCCTACTTCTATATGTCTAGTGAATTTCTATATTCCTAAATTATCTTTATTGATTTTTTAAAATTCTATCCATAATTTCATAATACAGTTAATTTATAAAACAATAATTATTAATAACCAAGTTTTGATAATTTTTCAGTTTTTTTTTTTTTTTTTTTTCCCTATATTCAGCTAGTTGATTTTCGTAGCATACTCATAGTGCACACCATCTAGTGTGATATCAAACATCATTCTTTTTTTTTCCTCACTTTTCTTTATGTATTAATTTGCTTCTATTTTTGAAATTTCAAAATCTCAGTTGGAAACGTATCATATTTACCAGTTATATATGGATTGACATATATGTGATAAATGATAATGGCAGCATAATAGCTTTGACTAATCTTTAATTTTGTTACTCTTTTTTAATTATTATGTATTTTACCAAAGTTAATTTTTTTTTTTTTAACTTTATATTTTACCAAAGTTAATTTTTTTTTTTAACTTTATATATATATATATATTAGAGAAAATTGTTTACGATCACAAGATTGTGCTAAAATTCTATTTTTCTCTGAGAAGTTTATTGTTGTTGAATCTATTTCGAGGTTGACTTTCAACTCTGTCAGTAAGATTTCATCATGAATCAACTCTTTTTATAACCATCTTTTTCATCACACTTCTTTCAATCTAAAGGATTTTTTTATGTAATCATATATATGTGCTAGTTAGGTAGTGGTCATTCTTTGTAGATCCATATACAACTCTTGTTTTAGGACGGCTAGTATCAGTAGTATATAGCATAAAAGGTTAGCAACATTGTTGTGTTCTCGTTAGTCTATGTCAATTCTGGGGAAGCAGATAAGCTGTTTGAGAAAATGTCTGGGATTTACACACAGTTGGATAAACGTGGCTCAACTAACAGGGTCTTCAAACGTGACACCCTTTGGGGCTGTTTGGAGATGGAATGATTGATGCTTCCCAGGTTTGAATGATGAAAAGTATTGCGAAAACTGACGCTTCATGCTCCATTGTCTTTGATAAGCTTTTCATCTCTTTTTATTATTTAATTGTAAGACACTGATTGAGGTCTTGTTCTTGAAGGAGTTTAGAAATTGCAGAGCTTAGTCTTCTGATAGGTTTTTGCTCTGATTTAAGTAGTATTCAAGGAGGAAGAATTGCCTTGAAGGCAGACGGTGATGTGGTAGTTTGAGTTGTATGAGCTATGTTCTTCCCCAATACTTTGCTTAGTGAGAATAATGGGCTGGTCTGTACCTATGAAGCATGGACACTCCAAAATTAGTGCCGTGACAGTGTCCGACACGTGGACACGCCGGGGACACGTGGACACGCCGGGGACACGTACGGGACACGCCAGATGGCGTGTCCCTTTAATTTAATGATTTTTTTGGAAGGGGACACGGTGGGGACACGCGTGTCCATATCTGGACACGCCATGGGACACGGCGGGGCTGTTTTTTGAATTTTTTATATTTATTTGGGGTCAAAGTATAATATTTAAAAAGAAAAAAAAAAAAAAAAACAACCACAACGTTCAAAGCCCTAATCGAACAACTGAGGGAGTAAAGGAGTAAAATCAGACCTGCGAAGACCTTGTCTGTCTCAGTCGAAGCCCTCTCAAGTCGATCGAACCTCTCTCTCTCAGTCACAGCCCTCCGAAGTCCATCGAAGACCTCCGATCCAGTTGTCTCAGTCTCTGTTTCAGTCCATCCAGTCGACTTCGACCTCCGATCCAGTCGTCTTCGAAGGTAAGCCTCTGTCGTCTCTTTCTCTTTCGCTCTCTCTCTCTTTGCTCTGGTTTCGACTCAGACTAAGTCTGATTTTTATTTTTATTTTTATTTTTTTTATACGTTTTTATATATATATATATATCTATATGTAAGATTTTTTTTTTTATTTTGATTTTTTCTAATCTAGATGCATCTCAAAAGTAAAATAAATTGATTGAAATATCAAAAAAAATATTTAAAATACACGAAAGTTCGAACAAAAATCTGTGTATTTTTGTTTAGATTTTTCTTTATTTTTAGTGAATTTATTTTCATTTTTTTTTATGTTTTATATTTACATTTTAGATGCATCTAGATGTATTTAAAAAGTGAAAAAAAAATAGTAAAATATGAAAAAAATTAAGTAAAGACAAACGAAAACTGTCTAAAAATAATTTTTGAAAAATTAAACCAAACAAAGCCGCTTGACCTTATTTTGAGTATTTAAATTAGGCGAAATTACTACCTCAGGATAGATTTTTTAAAATTATTACACATTAATGAAAAATTTTATGATTTTAATTATTAATTTTTATTATGTAATTTTCCCTTTAAATAAAGTGAAAATTCAATGATTGCGAATGGAACAAATGTATGGAAATTTTGTAAATGGGAGAATGTTGCATTGCATGGAAAAAAAAAAAAAAAAATTCGCCGTGTCTCCCGCCTTGTCCGTGTCCCCATTTTTTGGCAATTCCCGTGTCCCGTGTCCGTATCCGTGTCCTTGTCCGTGTCCGTATCCGTGCTTCATAGGTCTGTACAACAAACCAGGTGTCTACTGGAAAGCTGATGGGATCTGTTTACACTTGAGAAATGGCTTCATGTCTAGCATGGTTTTAAAAATGTGTCACATTATGTAATCCTATGGGCAGTTGCCACCACCTGTTACAACGGTTGTAGTGCTGTGATCGAAAATCACTGCGGTAATGGCCACTATAGTTTCGTAACAACCATAATGGCCGTTACGACACCATGATGCCTACATTTTGAATAAATTCTGCATATAAGACTCTCTCCCTCTCTCTCTTTCTCTTTCTTTCTCTTCAATTGCTAAGGTCATACAAAAATTACATGATCTATATGCTTTAAGCGTTCAATTTTCCATGTCTACAAGATTAAACTTGTTATCATGCAATCTTAAAAAAAAATAAAATAAAATAAAATTGTTATGGTTAGACAAACTTAGATTAGTTTTCCTTTTTTCCTTTCAAAAGTGTTTATTTTTTATCTCTTGATTTAGTAACATAGATCTGTTTGGTTTTAGGTTAGATTTATTGAACAATGTTTGGAGATCGTGTATGTACTTTAATATTAATTTGTTGGCATATAACACGATAAATTTATTTTTATGATCCTATGGATATTATTATCATACATCGTTCATATTTTACTTAATTTTTATAACAATGGAAACATTATTCATATATGCAATCAATAAAATAAAGAATGTATGGTTAAGTTTTCCAAAATTGAGCGAAAATGAAAAAAAATTGGCAATTACGGTTGTCGTCATGGTTACGCTATGGTTGTTGCACCCTGCAACCAAGTCATCACCACATTTACCATTACAACAGCCTCCTCTGTTATTTTAAACCTTGATGTATAATCCTCATGATAGCATTATAGCATTTTGCTCACAGGAGTGATTAGGGGGCAGAAGTGTAGTACGTAGGGTTTTAAATATGAACCAACATGTATTGGGATTTTGGAATTCCAATAGTAGAGGTCTCATTTAGGTCATGGGTCCTTTACTGGGTGCTAAAGTTGTTGATATGCAGTTTTTGCTTGGTTAGCCAAAGGGTGCTATCAAAGGATTTTGGTCAAGAGTATTTTGAAGTTTTTCGAGGTTCATCTTTGCCCTCTGTGTGGTTTGTGTATCTCCAATAATTCTCTAATTTTCTCTCTATTTATGGTTTCTAGGTGGTAGAGTTCCCCTCTTGCCAGGTTTGGCTGTTTCTTTTTATCTTTAGATTCTGTTTGCTTTTTTTTTTGGGAGTTGTTTACTTTATTAAGTTGGGGTTGGGCTTTTACAATTGCTGCATTTCACTTTGGCTTTTATTTCTGTATTTGTGAGTGATGTACTCTTATATTTTACATCAATTAAAAATGAAACCAAAAAAACAAAAAGGGAAAAAACAAAAAAAAAAAAAAAACAAAAGAAGAAGAAGATGAAATATCAGCTAGTGGTGATCTTTTATTGATGACAATGACGTACTGGTTTTAAAATATCTCCGTCGATCTGCTATTTTTAATTAATACAAGAAAAAGCTTAGCCCAACTGAAACAAAATCAGAGCCGGTGAGGAATTTGAATGTTTAAACTACATCATTAAATTGGTGGAAATTAATACTTGTAGAACTTTAATATATGGAACAGGCATTTTACCAGATCCTAATTTTTTCTAGATTGGACCATGATATTCGACCAGGGCAAACATAGTTCTTCCTTTTCTTTTTCTTTTTCTTTTTCTTTGTTTTTTTTGTTTTGTTTTTGTTTTTGTTTTTGTTTCGATTGATAAGGTTGAATTTTTTTGTAAACAGTTCAGAGGCCAAATGTAATACTCCCTAGTCAAATTGATACAATATAATTTAAAATTCAAGATTTTCCCATTCTAATAAGTAAAATAAACAAACAACAACCTCTACAACGTGCCAATATACTATGGATATCCTAATGAGAAAGTAGAACTCACTAGCTTAGTAGTTTTGCAGCTTCATCTTCTAGCTAGCCAGTACCTCAAATAGAACACTGCAATATCCAAGATCACACTGGACTGTAAATGAAGAGCTCTTCATTTGCTTAGGCTGATGACAGTAAATTTTGATGTTGTTTGGTTGACAGTAATTGTTATAGTTAGATCTGCTTTTGATTTAGTGACTACAATCATTCTTATTGTGGACCAGGAACGAGTGTGTTCAGCCATTTGCACCAGAAATGGAGCATGTATGTGGAAGGCCATTGGGACTACGGTTTGATAAAAAAACTGGAGATCTTTATATTGCTGATGCCTACTTCGGCCTTCAAGTAGTAGGGCCAAATGGAGGTTTGGCTACTCAGCTAGTTGCAGAAGTTGAAGGCCAGCGCTTACGCTTCACAAATGATATGGACATAGATGAGCACCAAGATGTGATTTACTTCACAGACACGAGCACGAGCTTTCACAGAAGGTAAGTAAGAAGTTTTAACTTTATTTATTAGCTTATTTGAATGGTGGGTTAGAAGAATATTGGGTTGAGAATGGCTGGTTTCATTCCATCCCACAACCTATCATTAGTGAAAATCCTAAGTGATTCGTGATTAGGTCAAGATTAAAATAAATTAATTCCCAATCATTCAAAACATACAATCTAAATCATCAAGCACTTACGAAAGTGATTTAGGTTGTTGTTTTCGAAATAAACAATAAATCGACACAAACAATTTTTACGTGGAAAAACCACAATTGAAGAACCTTTAATTGTAATAAAAAATCGCAGGCGAAACGCCACTAATCAATCCACTACTGAAGAAAGAAGGATTACAAAAATAACAAACAAATTACCCAACTACTCCAATTTGTCTTCAAACCTTCTGTAACTCTTTCACCAAGCCTTCGTCTCGGAACTGATTAATCTGAAGTTGAATCCACAACTTCACTTGTCGAATCAACGACTACATACAGAATCAAACTCCTTTGAAACTCCACGTTTGAATCTTCGGAATCCACCGAAGAAGAATACTCTTAAATATGAAGTAACAAACTCCTTGATGTATGTATCTCAGATCATAAGTTTAGAACTCACTCAAATCATCAAGGAAAACTCAACAAGACTTTCAGAAGAAAACCTCAAACAAAACCCTAAGACTCTTAACCAAGATCTAGGAAAAGTAAACACTAAAATCAACCTAAACAGATATATATAGAAAACAGAGGTCGCGATCTCCGCTCGAGCGCAAGACATCCTGCTCGAACGGCTTCAGTAAAATACGCGTGTGACCAAACAAGTCCGCTCGAGCGCTGGAACACACGCTCAAGCACGAAATCATACTTCTCAGTATCTTTACAGACACGACCAACTACTGAGATAGCACATAGTACACTCGAGCGCCAATGGTCCCACTCGAGCGAGAAAGTCAAAAAACAAGGAAAAAATTACAACTTTTCAAAACAGAGTTTGTACGAGGATTTGACAATAAAGGGACCTAACAATCTCCCCCTTTGTCAATTTCCGGACAAAACTCTTCTAAACAATTTTCCTTAAAACACACGCACTAAACAACCCCAACCTGACGACCTATCGGATAAATAAAAAAACAACAACTCTGTAATCAACAAATAAGTTGGTGTAATAAAAAAAAATAAGTTGAGCTGTCATCCGAACAATCCATCAAACATCCACCTGTGAGACAGCAAGCAACACACCAGAAAACCAAAAACTGTGGAACTTCATAAGAAGATACCAAAACAGATATATAAAGAAAACCACTATATCCAAAAGGAAAAACAAAGTATCCATCATATATCAATGTACCATAACAAAAACAAATTATCCATGAAAAACAAAGTATCCATCATATATCAATGTACCATATACCATAGCCATACCATATACCATATGTACCATATACCATATGCATCCACCATATACCATATCCATCCAAAACTTCTCCCTCTTTTTGGCCGGGAGACAAGGAGACAAAACAGACCAACAAAGAAAGAGATCAAGCATCAGGTGGAGGATGAGGCTGCTAGATCTGAAGCAAAGAAATAATGTGAGCTAGCTGAGTAGTAGTCTGGACGGCGGACTGCTCTAACTGTCCAAGGCGACCATCGAAGGCATCAAACCGAGCATCCAGAAAATCCAACCACCGTGTCACAACCTCCTCGCAATGTCGAAGCTAATCATTAAAAGTCCAGGGTGGAACAACATCCTCCTCAGCACCAGCTGTGGCAACATCAATCTCTGCCTCCTCGGCAAGTCCAGCTGCTGTACCTGTAGAAGTACCAACCCTAGAAGACTCTCCCTTGACATGTGCACGACTTTGGGAAACAGTCTTCTTAGTGAAGGGCCTAGATGGAAAGGTATACTCATCATCCTCTAAAACTGGAACGTCAAGCCGGGACAAAAGACGGTTGATTAAACAACCATAAGGGAGACCTAATTGCTTATTACCAAAGACAGCAATCATCTTACGAAGAATGAGGGTGCCAAGATTGATGGACATATGACGAGCAATATAGAAAAGAACGAACCCCTGTGCTTGATTGATTTCAGAAGAGTGAGTGGTGACAATAATATTAGCACACACAATAAGATTAAGCAGTCGAAACTTGGGAAGGAGTTCAAACTGTTTAATCAAAGTGCCCTTGATCCAGTTACGAGGAGCACCACACAAAACTTCAGCCATGACATTAAAATCACAAGTAGGACAAACCGGAAAAGGATAATGTTCCGGAAACACACGGTCAATACTAAGAAGCCCTCTAATAAGCTCGGGATTGACAGAGATGGACTTAGTCCGAACCTACGTGGTGAAGGAAGGACCAATATCATCTATATTCTCAATATTGCAGAAAAACTCACGGACCCAATCTAGATTTTGGCGTTCGAAGAAGGACAAAACCAAGTCTCTGCCTAATGGATCAAACAAAGGACGGATGGAAATAGACTCGAAGGTATTGGGTTGGACATGACATTCAAGATGAACAGTCCTAGACGCAAACGACTTTCTGAATAACTTGGCTTGTTTGGCAGAGAGAAATCTATCAGGATTAAACGAAGGACGCGACACTGTAGACTTGCGTCTTTTGGGAGCAGACATGGTGACACCAAACACAACTCAAGCCCAAAACAAAATAATCCCAAAAACCAAAGCAACAGAGCACAGCAAACATTAGTAATAGTGTTAGAAAGATATCAAAACCTAGCATAATAACAAGGACATACGCAGAGCATAATAGGAATGACAGTATAATGAAAATAAGACACTAAATTATATTCAAAACCTAGCAAAGCTGAACCAAACCCACCAAAGCAACATATACATGAGAGGAGAGAGAAGAAAATGAAAGGCAAACAATAACGTAGAACCCTAGAACAATGGACACAGCAGACTACACAAAAACTCAATAAAGCAAAGAGACTCAATCCACCAACCAAACTCACCATTAAGATGAAACCAAGATGCGGTGACAGTGTGTGAGGCAAGTGAAAAAAAACAAAACAAAGAAAATAAAAAAAAAACAACCTAAAGACGACCTCCACAAGAGCCGAAAAACAGAGAAAAAACAAAGAGAAAGGGAGAAAAACTTACCAAGGTTGAATCGGAGATGAAGGAGGAAGAAGGATGACAAAATCAAGCCCAATGAGGTCGCAATCCAAGCCCTAGGGAAGATAGACGGAAAAATGGGAGAAAAAAATGAACTGAAGAGTCGAGGGAGGGAGTTTTAAACAAAATAAGTCCGCTTGAGCGTGAGTTATAACGCTCGAGCGGGATCCAAAGCACGCGTCAATACGCTCGAGCTTGGAAACAGACGCTCGAGCGTCAAAACAACCCTCACAGAACTGCAAAACATGGTACAAAATGCTGCAAGACCCAAAACCACGCTCGAGCATGAGATTTGTCGCTCGAGCGGGAACAGAACACCTCCATTTTTTTTTTTAATTTTAATTTTAACAGCGAGGAGTATAATTGAAAGACTGTAACACTTAGAAGAGATTATCCATCACCCATGAATCCTGAAAACTTGTACACTAAAACAAAATATGAATCACAAGATCATGAACTAGTCAGATAGAATTTAATCAATGAGCATAAACAACTTGAGAATGCATAACTCAAAAACACACATGAGAGCTCACGAAATAATGTGTGTGTGCAATCCTTGAGAGCCACAAAGCTAGAGTTAATCCTTGTAGTGATCGGATGGCTGGACCTCCGACAAGAGTAACTGAGCATCACAGAGAAAAGTCAAACCACTAGGAATCACGGGGTAGTTGTTGAGTAAACGCGGAGGCTCCTCCTCAATCAATGATTTCCTTCTTTTCTTTTTTCTTTTTTTTAACTTTTCTTGCTTGTGGACACTCACTGGTGGCATTCACGCTCAAGAGTATGGAGACCAAACCAGAAAATAATGAAATCAAAAAGGATGGTCTGGTTGGTGCCTCTGAGGTAGCCTTTTCCTAATGCCCGGATTTCAATGAACTGAGGGAGAAACCATGGAAGTGTAAAAAGATGGTAGATGGTTAAGAGACTCAACATCACCCATGATATACTAGTATAGGTCAATTCTTCTGAAAACATACAAGAAACACTATTAGTGGTCCATAGAGAACTTTGATCGCTTGTGCGGAAACCCCTGCAACAGTTTATCTCAAGGATGTGTACAGAATGAGATCATGAAGTAAATGAGTATGGGCATTCAGAATGAGCTATGAACAAAGAAGAATGAGATCTTGAAAGCAGCATGAGCAGTGTTCATATTCATTTTTTACGCAAAGATAACAGGAATCAATAACAATGAGATTATGATGTCCGAGTGTATAGAAAGCCAAACACTTACACCCTCTTAAAAAAACAAGAAACACCTTAGTTACTAAGCACCACACCCAAGGTCTTTCTAAGAAACTCAAACCGAAGAAGATCAAGGAGTTTTGTAAAAATATCAGTTTTTTGATGCTCAGTGGGTACATGTTCAAGAACAACAATGCCTTCTTCCACTAACTCTCGAATAAAATGATGACGAATGTCAATGTGTTTGGTGCGAGAGTGTTGGACAGGATTTTTTAAAATGTTTATGGCACTTGTGTTATCACAGAAAAGAGTGTGAGTGTTCTGTTCTATTCCATAATCATGAAGCATTTGCTTCATCCACAACATTTGTGCACAACAACTCCTTGCAGCAATGTACTCAGCCTCAACAGTCGAAAGAGAGATGGCATTTTGCTCTTTACTATGCCAGGAAACCAAATTATTCCCAAGGTAAAAACACCCCCTGGATGTACTCTTCCTATCATCAGCACACCCTGCTCAGTCGGCATCAGAAAAATCAGTAATTTCAGTTGTAGTATCAGTAGAAAACCAAACCCCATACCCCAATGTCCCATTAACATATTTGATGATATGTTTAACCGCAAGAAGATGAGACTCTTTAAGACTGGCTTGGTAACGGGCACAAACAACTACA